TAACATCGGTTTGTGAATTGCCAAGGGAGGCCAGCAAAACATCTCGGTCTGAAACTGTGAGAAAATGGGGCATATCCCTGATTTCATGCTGCCCAAAAGGTCACAGTGATACTAGTGTGAAGGGGTGGAGCCAGGTTTTAATGGCTGCTTCTGTACAAGGCATGATCAGTGAGGAGAAGCTGGTCAGAAGCGGAGACGTTTAGTCCTAGTTCTGCCTTCAGAGGGAGCTTACATCTCTGTCTTTTCTGATGTTGAAAGGCGTGGTCGTCTCTGGACAAGCCAGGGCATTTCCGTTCTGTCCCCTTCCCTCCCGCTGGGATAATCAGGCTTGCAGCTGGCAAGTGAGCCTTGGAAGTGCTGCCTGCGGGTGTGTCTCACTGGCCACACCACGGTGGGGAACTGAGTCACCTCAGAGGCCCATTGATTTCAGAAAGTCGCCCTTGCTTTTGTCTCCTGCCAGCACACCCATTGCTTTAGGAAGGGGACAGCAGTTTGGAAACAAATGTGTTTTACGATGGTAACTTTGTTGCCAAAAATATATACCTGAGATCTCGAAAGCAAAGCCTGACCAGGACTGCTGGGCGGGAGGCTGGCCAGCTCTGGAAATGGACCTAGCCATCCCAGGGACCTAATCACCTGCTAGCTTGCATTGTAGCTGTGTAAACTCACAGAGGGGAAAAAGCCACTAAGTGACTTAATCTCTCTTTTTTTTATTGCATTTTAAATTTTATTTTTTTTGGTATGTGCATTTGTGCTACTGTACATATGTAGAGATAAGAAAACTACTTGTGAGAGTCAGTTATCTCCTCTCGCCATATGATTCCGGGGATGAACTTAAGTCCTCGGGCTTGGCAGCAGGTACCATTACCCACTGAGCCATCTCATTGGCCCAAGCGTCTTAATCTGAACGTCACTTTATCTCTCTGTGAATGAAAACACACACAGCTCTATGTGAACTCTTAGGAAATAGTTTCATTCACACAGTAGTGCAAGCCCGGTACCCCTCCCCCTTTTATCGAGACAAACTTTCAGTTATTCCAGGCTGCCCTCAAATTCACTATATAATTGAGAATGACCTTAAACTTCCGAATCCTGTACCTCACCTCCTGAGAGCTGGGATTAGAGACATGTGTCATCATACCCTCCACTACATCTGATCGATGCTGGGATTAGAGACATGTGTCACCATACCCTCTACTACGTCTGATTTTATTCAGTGCTGGGATTCGAAACCAGGGCTTCATGCATGCTAGGTAAGCGCTTTACCAACTAAGCTACATATCCAACCCTGTAGAGTTTTCATCAGACAACTGGAGGAGCCCATGTGAACGTGCATGATAGACCGCACTCTCTCTGTCCCGGTGCGCTTGGTCTCCCTTGGTCCTGCTGCAGTCTTCTGAGGCCTGAGCCATCCTTACCTGCAGAGGGACTGAGAACTTTCTGAGCTACTTTCTAGAGTCTTATGACCTTCTCTCCTTCCAGACACAAATGTGCCAGTTGGGATGAAATAGCTATACCAGGAGGCCCTAGATGATCACCCTCATGTAGACAGAGGGCGTCTTTCTTTGCAGGACTTTACCATAGTTTAGATGTTTAGATTCTCTCTCTCTCTCTCTCTCTCTCTCTCTCTCTCTCTCTCTCTCTCTCTCTGTGTGTGTGTGTGTGTGTGTGTGTGTGTGTGTGTAAAGCTGGGTGTTCCTTTTGGGATGGTTTGATTGATGTATACACTAGAAACAGCTTTAATAATTTAATGTCTGCTTCAAAGGCATTTACACCAAAAAAACACATTGCTTTTCACTTATTCATTACAGATCTGTCAGAGCAGGGGTTGTGTGTGTGTGCGTTTCCCTGAATGACAGTGCCATGGTAATAGTAAGTTTTATTCCAGATTCAGGGTATTTTAAAGGATTATAAGCCTTTTAACTAATGTTGCCATCTTATTTAAATTGATCAAATTGCTATTTCAGTATCATAATCTTGCATCTTTTTAAGTTGTGCTAGGCAGCTGAGGTTTTATTTGATGATTACTAAGTAGCCATGCTGGGGGAGTCTAATGGAGATAATGAGATGAGAGCATAGTGCTGCTGGCTAGTGATGGTGATAATGGCAGGGAACCGGAGGGAACTTGGGAGCTGGATGCTAAGAGATTAGGGAACAACGCAGCCCTCTGTATAGAGGAAAAAATAAAAATTTAGGACTTCATCAAAGAAAGAGGTTAAGACTAAGGGGAGGAAAAATAAGAATATAAAATCTAAAAATAAGAAATCATGTCCTCATTTTACAGTTAATTATTAGTTATGAATCTAGATGTCAGGAAAATAGATTTTTTTCCCACTTACATGTAATTATCTTAATAGACTTTAACAATCACTCAGAGAAGCAAGGACTGTATTTACATTCCTAAACAATAAATTATGAGCTTTTTCTTTAATTTTTTATGAATATATTATCTAGACAGTCCCATCCCCATGTAGTGAGAATTGTACTGAGGCTGTCAGGCCAGGAAATTGACCATGAGGAAGAAGTCGTAGAGGGCTGTCCTTGACCTTGGGGGATAGGGTTGTTGGTGCAGTGAGGCAGTGTCATCACAGGTTACAGGCAGGCTTAAAAAACAGTAAGATGTCCTAGGCAACGCAATCTCATAAGCATTGCATGTGAAAATAGTTTCTAAGCCATTGGTATGCAATTACCCCATTGACTGAGAAAGTCTGAAAGATCCCAGTTCTTTTCAGTTGTGAGCACTGTAGTGTGTAGTATGAGGAGCGGCAGGCTGTGTCCTGCTGCCTGGCTAGCTTAGCCTCCGAAATAACCACACAGAAATTGTATTAATTAAATTACTTCCTGGCCCATTAGCTTTAGCCTCTTATTGGCTAACTCTCACATCTTGATTTAACCCATTTCTAATAATCTGTATCGTTACTTGACTGTGATTTACCTGCATGAGTCTAACCAGTATCCATCTCAGGCAGGAGAATCATGGCATCTGCCTGTCTGTCCTTCTTCCCAGCATCCAGTTCTGTCTACTCCACCCACCTAAGGGCTGCTCTATCAAAAGGCCAAGGCAGTTTCTTTATTCAACCAATGAAAGCAACACATAGACAGAAGAACCTCCTACATCAGTAGTGTCTCTGTCCAATACTTCTTCTAAGCTCTGCCCAGTCCTTACAATGTTCACCCTCTAGACCATACCAGCGTGCTCTTGTAAAGGCACAGAAATGTTTGGTTTTTAAGGTTGCTAATTCTTTAAACAGTACAATCAGTGAGACATGGTGCAGATGTCCCTTTCCTTGTCCACTAGAAGGACACATGAGAATCCCCTGGGGGCATTAAAGTAGGAGCGGGGCAGGGGGCAGAGGGATACAGTCTCAGTTTGTGATTTTTGCTTAAGGACTTTGGGCCAGACTTCCTGGGTTTCACACTCACCCAGCTTGGTCTCCTGCTACATGGTGCTGTGGGCACTGAGTGGGTCAGTATTTTTGTTACTCATATGACAGGGACAAGAAATGTACCACGTGGGACTTCTGTGCTGGCTTTTGCACTGGTAAGCGCTGTCTGACTCTGTAGTTCCTGTTGGGAGGCAGTGCTCTCTTGAGCTCAAGTGTTCTAAACTGAGTGTGGAACATACTCATCGTCTTTAGTATCTTTGAGCCCGGTATCTAACTTTTATCATGGTTTTCATAATGTACAAGTTTTCTATCTTTGATTTATTTTATTTGTAAACATTTTATTCTTTTTAATGCTTTTATACATGAAATTGTTTTGGTAATTTCCTCTCACAATTGTTTATTATTAATATATAGAAACAATAATTTTCACATGTGATGTATCCTCTGTTTTTGTTTTTGTTTTGTTATTGTTGTTTTTGTCTTGTTTTATGTTTTCTGAGTCAGGTCTTGCTATATTAGCCCTGGATGGCCTGGAACTTGTTATGTAGGTCCAGCTGGCCTGAAACTTTTAGAGACCCCCTGCCTCTACTTCCTAAGTACTGGGATTATAGGTACATGCCACCACATTAGACTCTTTGTTGTTTGATGATAGCTCAAATGCCTCCTCCTATCTTCAAGGCTGTGTGCCTCAGTGACTCACTCTGTTTGCTTTGGAGAGAGGTGAGATGAGGGTGTGGTGAGACCATGGAAGCTTCTAAGTTTTCAATGGAGACTGGAATTTTGTTCATCCCCGTGGCACTGGTGCTGCAACTCCTCCTGCTCCATTTTCTGCCTGGCATTTGCCTCCTATGGATTTCCTCCTGAGTGGAACACTCAAGGAAGTTAAAGCTGAGTGCTGATGTTTGACCTGCGTCTTTATGCTGAATCTGCATGATGACACCTGCTGTAGTTTTTCCAGTCCCTAAAGAACACTGCATTTTTCTTCATTTTTTTAAACCTTTTTCCCCCTACATGTTTAATATCATAGAGCAAAACTTGAAGTAGAAAAATGGGTTTTTGATAGGAATTGGGTATTACTAGTAGTATATATGCTTAATTTAAGTTTATAAAATTTTAACTTTTGTATCTAGAGATAAATTATCAACTCTGAGGCATTATATGGAAACCTATGCATGTTCCACATTAGAAAGTTCAGCTTATCCCTTCCCCCATAGGTTGGGTTGACAATCCCCAGAGAATGAAGGCTCTGATCTGACTTGCTCCTCTGATTCAGACATTTTAAAAACAGATATTTTCCCAGGACCCTGATGTTTGATTTCTTGTTTGACATGTGGATTATGTACTGCAACCATAGCTTAGTTCAGATTTTGGCTCCTCCATCAGGACCAAGCTGGGTTCTCCTCTATGCTTTAGTTTTCTTATCTGTAAAATGGGATAATCCCAGACTTACAGGCTCCTCCAGTGAAGATTTTAAGGCAGCTGCTCTGTGAATGTAGACGCTGGGTGCCCTATGGACAGTGTGGCTGTGATAGGTGAGCATGGCTCTGTAGTCTGTAATGGAGGGGCCCTGTCACACTGTCACGCTTTTACCCATTGTCTCTTTTGCTTTGAAAGAGGCCGGCAGAAATAGTTGATGAGGAAGAAGATGGAGAGAAAACATACAAAGATGTCAAACAGAAAGAAGACTTTTCAGCAATGAATGGGGAAACTGAAGATGGAGGGGATAGTGAGGCTGCTGATGGCCCTAAGCAAGAGGATGAAATCCCAGACCACAGAGAGAAGAAGGCCAGTCCCTCTCGGGTAAACGGTGTCACTGATGAGGAGAATGGTGAAGAACTGGACCAGGTTACTGAGGAGCTTCAACCAACAGTGGATGAGGAAGGAAAGGCTGAAGGAGAGAATAGTGGACAAGATGAGGTACTTCTATTATTTTGGCTTTCTTGTGCATAAATAGTTGTGTACACATGCTTGCACACACATGAACGTGCTTAGGAAATTAGCCAAATACTTGGATCTGCAGCAAAACTCCTTATGGTAGCATAAGAAACACTGAGCACTGTTTAATTAATTTCAAGTTTTACTTATTCTAATCAGTTATCAAGTACTGCCATGTATATGTGTTTCTTATTCTGTCCTCTGTATGCCCATCCAGTACCCATTCCCCTCCCCACCTACCTATCCACTCACCTACCTACCCATTCTTTCATTGTGTCGATCTATCTCTTCATTTGTCACCCATCCACCACCCACCCACCAAGCTAAGACCAGAGAAGAACAAACTAGAAAATGGTATTTAGCTCGGTGAAACCTTTAACTAATATAAAGAACACCATGGCCATTACCAGGACTTCTTTGTTCTTTAGAGAAATTAGAGTCTAGTCACTTACCCCACATTAAATAGATTAATCAAGCGTCTAGCATACTAGGTACTGGTTTGCTTACTGTAGCAAAGCACAGGAGAGAGAAAGTTTAACAGCACAGTAGTGCAGTGTTTCCATGCCAAGAGCTTCAACAGTCAGTCCGAAACCACCTGTGTTCTCCTGTACACTTCTACACAGCATCTTTGCCACCTGAAGGAAAGCACATGGCATTCCTCACATTTCATCTTTACTCAAGGTGAGGTTTTCACACTGTGCCTGTGTAAGACGCAGAACACAATTCCTCAGACAGAGCTCAACACAGTCCTCCTGGCTGTGTATAAAGCAACAATAGTAGGTTCACAAAGCTCTCTGCTGTTTAGCCTCTGATGGAAGCGTACAACATGAAATCAAAGTGCTGGTCTACATGGGGCTCCGTAGGAAGACCCTGGTATGCAATCTTCCAGGGGTTTAGCTTAATTCAGTGTGTGACCTAGTTAGACTTGACAAGACTCATGGTTTGTGAAAATCCTCCTGTAATTTTCAACAATGTAGAATCAGGTCAGAGGGCATTATGTTAACTGAAGCAAACCTGACACAAATAGTGCATGAGCTCCCGTGCATAAAAAGCTTCATTTATAGAAGCAGAGGGTAGAATGGAGGTTACTGGGAACTACAGGTTGGGTCCGGGGAGATGTGGGCTAAAGAACAGAACATTTCCACTCTGAGGAATAAGTTCTGGAGCTGTGTTGTCCAGCACAGTGACTATTCCTAACATCATGAGCTTATGCTAGAGGAGTGTTCCTAGTCCTACAGACAGAGAAGAAAACTGTGAGGTAATGCAGAGGTTAATGAGTCCAAGTTAGCTTTTCCATAATGCACATGTATTTTAGGACATTATATGTTATATCATAAACATATATTTTTCAATTAAATAAATCAATTTAAAAACTAAAGTAAAAATAGATATTTGATAGGAATTGGGCATCACTTAAGTTGAGGGTTATATAACTTGGCAAGGACCTGAAGCATGGTTGTCTGTGATATGTTATATGATGAGTCCAATTCTTGGTTGCTCAGGTAAGTGGCTCATTGGAGACTTTAAGAACCAATCGAATGTCCAGATGGAATAATTGCTCAGAAGAGATGGAATCTTACTCGATTGTCTCCTCTCTTGCAATGATTATATATGTTATCTTCATTTGTCCTCATGCATTAATATACATATACTTCAAGTATACCAAGTATATGAACATTTAAACATATATGTACTGTAAAGTAGAAGTTAACAATTCACTTTTATAAAACAATTATTTACTCACAATGACTAAAAATTCAGTTTGCATGTAACATTTTGTCATATGTAACAGTTCTTATGTAATGTAACAAATAAAAACAGCAAGAACCAGATGACAGTTACACAATAGCAACTGAGACAATAGGAAACAGCAGGAAATAGGGGCCAAATACACAGCAGCAACTGTCATCTATTGAGACGATCAGTTTATACTTTATGTATGATTCCATTTGAGATACTTCATGAGGAAGCAATGTGAAATAAAATGATGACCTGGAAACATATATAGGTACATACCTAAATACATATAAGTGCATATATACACACAAGCACATACAGGCATACATTCATATATACATTACACATATTCACTGGCATATATACTTTCATAGATACAAGCACTTTTGCATATATACACACATATACATACAAACACATATATACATATACATATCTATATATACACATGCAGTCATACTTATAAACATATATACTTAAATGTGCATATACATCAACACATGCATGCCTGCACATACACATGTATATATTTGCATGTTCACATTCATATATATATATTCATACACACAAGAATGCATGCACACATGCATACATATGTATACACATACTATGCACACATATATGCATACATGCATATGTACATATGTATTTTCTTTTTTTAGTATAAATCATGCCTATGGGATTTAGTGATCTGGAGCTTTTCTTATCCCTAAGACTGGGGGTCCTTGTGAGGCTGTGAAACTTCCAGAATTTCATGGGTTATAGTTTGAAAACTAGCCATAGCCAGTTCTTATCATACACCTTGACAGCAGTCCAATGGGTAGATTAATTATGAATGAGATAAATGTCATTGATAACAGGAGATGTTCAAGGGACAATGGTTATTCCTGGAGAAAAGTTCCTCTATGCTTTGGTTTTATATCCTGCTCTTACCTACGAGACACTGATAGTCTCTGTCGCTTGACATCATACTATGACTCTGCAGATTCTGGTGGACGAGGACCACAGGGAGCACTAGGTTAGTGAGACATGGAGGTGAAGCTGAGATGCTGTTTCTTCTCTCACTTTGGAAATACTTAACTGAAAAGTGTGAATACATCTTTGAACAGAGAGAGAGAGAGAGAGAGAGAGGAGAGGAGAGGAGAGGAGAGGAGAGGAGAGGAGGAGAGGAGAGGAGAAGAGAAGAGAAGAGAAGAGAAGAGAGGAGAGAGGAGAGAGAGAGCCGTGCTTTCATCCATTGAGTTATCGTCAGCCTCTCTAGTCAGGCTGGACTCAAACCTGCTATGCACTTGAGGGCGTCTTTTAACTCCTGTTCTTCTGCCTCTACCTCTTGAGTTCTGGGATTATAGCTATTGGAGTGTGGTCAGCCAAAGGCTGAAAGTAGCAAGCAGGGGAAATGACTGACTAAAAACAAGAGAACCAAAGAAATGTCTTAGAGTTGAATACTTAATGGTTAAATGGGACATTTATGTGAGCTTTATTATCCTCATAAAGTGAAGAGCTAATTATCTTTGTTTTGTTCTATTTTTCTTCCAGGCTGACTTAGATGCTGGAAGACCACCAAGACCAGAAGTGACAGTCACCAGCCCTCAAGAAAATGATGAAAATGAACAGAACAAGGACTCTTCTGCTGTGGCATAGATGGTTTTAGAGCAGGAAATACATGGGATGTAAGAGCATGCAGGGCTGTAATACTTGAATAATGAACACGGCCTCTCTGTTAGGCAGAATGTGGCAATATGGTGGGGCACCACTTGCTGAATTTTAAAAATAGAAGCTAAATGGAAGGAAGGTTAGGTAATTTGTAGCTCAAAGCAGAATGACTTATGTTTATGTCAGATGTTTAAAAAATTCCTTTAGAAGAATCAAATAAAAGAGAGAGAGGGATTTGTACCTTAAGACAGTTAACTACCTGTGTTTGTAAGGAAGAAAGACATGGGATAACTTCCGTTAGATACTTTACTATAGACTTGGAAGCAAGAGTATTGCCGGCTTGTTCTAAAGCATTTATCTAGGAAAGTGTAGACTTTTAAAGAATTGGTGATAGGAAAGCATGTATTATGTTCTCAAAGGAATAAACTGTTGAATGGACAAATTGCAGTTTAGTTTCAGAGATGATTTGGAGATGGCAATAGATCCAAACACTCTGAAGCTCTTGACATTCCTTTCTTCCTTTATCCAAGGTCCCCCTCAGACAAAGTCAGATCACAGTTCAAGCTGTCTTCTGGGGGTTGGAACTGCTTCTCCAGGGCACTGGCAATTGACATCAGGTGTGTCTGCTGAGACACACTCTCAGGCAAGAACCAGAGAGTGAGATGTGGGAATCCTGTGACTTTCCCTAATCTGGTCTGTCTGTACCAGGAACAAACTGTTTCCCCCTCCTATGTACTGTTGGAAACTCAATATTAGTGAAGATTCAATTCTTTCCATTACTTCAAAAAAGAATGTTTTAATAAACACCAGGAAATAGAATAGGAAACAGCAAAAAGAAGAGTTTCTAACTACCCAGTTCCTTTGCTTTTTGCTATTCTTCTGTCAGGGTTGACATGGTTGCATAGGGTTATTATGTCCATCCATCCATCCATCCACCCACCCATCAACCCATTTATCTATCTATCCATCTCCTAACCTTTTAGACTTACAAAAAGATGTTTATGTTTAGCCTTTTGTTATTTCAAGCAGATTCTTTTCTATAAATTTATATTCTGTCTGATGGAATTGGTGAAAAAACTTAAAATTTTCCCATAGCACCTGATTTCAGTTTGTGGATGGACTAAATTAATGTGTTTTCAACTTATTAGGTATAGATAAAGGAAAAGATAATGGCATTAGTTTGATGATCACAGTAGAGATGATGCACCTCTTCCCTAAATATAGAAATATCACATATTTCTCATTTTAAAGAATATATTTTTACTCATAGAAGTTTAAACTGGAAAATTTTAACATCTAGTGCTTTTGTAAGATCCATTACTATTGTAAGTCTAAGAGATCATTTTCCCTCCAGATTTCACAACCAACCATCTGGGATCAAAATAGTTGCGAGTTATATATGCTAAAGTAATATAGAAAATAGATACATGTTCCCTCAAAAGCTATTTTGATTTTTCTGTAAATAGAAAATGTGAACAGAGCGTATGATGTCACAGTATTTGAGGGAGATCATGACACAGAACTGGGTATCTGGGAGGATAAATTTTAACTGGGGCACAATCTGGGCTGTGCTTTCTCTGTATGGGCTTACTTTCCCAAATGTGACCGTACAGCACACATGGACGGCCAGCAGGGAGTCAGAGAAGCCGGTCTTCTGATGTGAAATACTGGTGGCTGAGGTTTCAAATACTTTGTGAAAATTGAACATAAGACATTTAACTAACTCTCAGACTGATTCTCTTTCTCAGTGAAGGACATTTTTCCTTAACGGAGCATTACTCTTTGTTCCCACCTTTTCTCCATTTTACTCTGATACTTAGGATCCAGGGGCCCTCTTGACAGCTTTCTTAATGAGGCACAACACTGATATTTTACATGAAAAATAAACTTTGAGATTTAAAGAACATTTCAAGAAGGTTACAGGCATAACAGTCATAAAGTGTTGAAATAAATGGGGAGATCATTTTCTCCTGTGCATGTATTTTAATACCTGGAACCCAAGTAAGAATTATCTCCATATGTTGCCTAACGAAACATGTAATCGATTATTCATTGGGAATTAAAACTATAGGCATAACTCTGAAGGTGACCTTAACAAAAGTTGAAGGTCAGTTCACCTGTCAAAAGTGACAGTCTCCTCTATGGGAATTGGGTACCTATGATAGGTTAAGCCCACAAATAAGTGAGACTTCCTGACAGATTTGGGAGGCATGCATTGAGCATATGAATGAATTCTTGGTGAAGGGTCATGCATCACTTGTACAGAGGGCACTTGGATATATATCCAGTGTATTGCTTTGAGGTGTCAGCTTTTTGCAGTTTCTTAGTTTTAATTTCATATCACTGATGTCTTGGCTGTATTTCAATTTTAAAGACACTTATGATCTCTGGTTTGCTGGTGGAATTGGAACATTGGGAGGTTTGCACTTGAGTAGAAGTGACTTTGAGTGATGTCACCTCCAAGTGAGGGGTGTGTTACATGCTTGGCATCTGTTGAAGTTGTTACTGCATGCCCATCACCTTCCTGTTACTATTACTACAGTGCAGCCCCCAACTCACTATGTTTTCCTAGGGTCTTGAGGAGACTTGTTATATAGGATGTTTTCATTGCATTTTATTTTAATGTCAAAATGCCAGACTCATAGGAAGAGCATGGTATAGTCATGCCTCCAGTTTTATTCTGAAAGGGTTAATTCTAGCTGTGGTGTCTAAACAGACACCATGCCATGTGGTGTGGCCTAGAATCAGCCATGTGTCTCTGTGGGTGCAGACCTGTGAAGCGACACTGATACATTTCTTGCTGTCTGTCCTAGGGTGGAGCACCAAACTCAGAAACCACAAGCTTTTCTTTAGAAGCTGGCAAAATGACTCAGCAGATAAGGTGCTTGCTACCTAGCGTGATGCCCTACACTGGCTGTTACATACACAAAGCTTGCCCACTTCCCATAGCTAAATAAATAAATGTAAACACATTGTTTTCTTGAGACATCCTTCCTTATACACAGAGGATGAATTTCACTAATTCAGAGATTAATGTGCTTAAAGCTGTTACTGTAGTGAGGCACACGTGTCTGACACCTGTAATCTCACATCTAGGGAGCTGGAAGTAGAATTAAGAATTAAAAAGTCACCCTTGACTACATAGCGTGTTTGGGGCTAACCTACGTAACTTGAAACCCTGTCTTTAAAACCAACTGACCAACCAGCTACCTGCCCACTAAAGCTGAACTTGCCTCTGCAGAAAAATCAGGGGTGTTCATCATGTTACCAGAAGGCAATTTAACGTGTTCAACATGTCTTCTAAATAATCTATTCTGTACTTTTGTTGTTGTTAAAGTAGCAAAAGCAAAGTCAAAAGGTAAATTAATTGCTGAGTGGAAAGGTCCACATCTGAACGGGTGCCAATCAGAACAGAGAGCACACTGTAGATCCTTATCAGTACTTCCACAGGTGCAACCATGCCCTTGCAGACATTGGGAAGGACCTCCTCACTGATGCTTGTTCAACAACTCTCTCGTGTGGGGAGGAATGATGCCAACAATTTAGGAGCAAATATTGAGACGATACTGTTGTCATGGTGTTTTAATATTGCTCTCCTGAAACCAAGACATACGATATTTTCCCCCAATATGAAAGGTGCCAGCATCATTTAAACAAGGCATGGTGGCACATACCTGTTATCCCAGTGCTCTAGATGTGGAGGCAGAGGGATCAGAGGTTCAAGGTCATTCTCAGCTACATAGTAAGTTGCAGGTCAGGCTGAGTTGTGGGAAACCTGTCTAAAACAAAAAAGGAAGGGATGCTAAAATTAGTTTCAGTCACAGTCTAAAAATTAGAGTTGTGTATCTTGTTTCCTGAACTGATGAAGTCTATGGTTTGTGCAGCCTCCTACAATACTTTGTGGACTATGGGAGGTGGGGGCAGGGAGAAAATCCAGGACTCCTGCTTGTGTCCAGAAACCAGGTACACAGTGTCACCAGTTCCTGAAGCTTAGTCTTGTTTTTCATCCAGAGACCCCTGGAGTTCCTTGTTATTGTCATGTTCACAGGTCTGGCTTTTGCATTGTATGTTTTACCCAATGAAGTCTGAAAGACAGGGAGGGAATGGAAGAATGTCCCTATATGCTGAGAAGGAAGTAAATTATTGTTTTTGAATAGTCATAATACTTGTAGGATATCTGGAATTAGGAAAGAATTAAAAATAATGAAGAAAAAAAGCACTTATAAAAGCCAGTGGGGACTATTGGGCTATGGCCTTCTAAGGCAATGGCTACCTAGCTTCGCTCTGTGAATGGGACCAAATGAATTCTGTGCAGGTTTATCAGCTTGAAATGCCTGGTTTAATTGACTGTTTCAGTTTTTGTCAGAAAATAAATGGGAGTGATTGTGATCAACTTTAGAAGATTGCAGGAGGCTCTGTTGCTTTTGTGTTTCCCTTCCATCTTAAATTGCTGACATGCACAGAGTAATGGTAATTTTTAATGCACTTTCTAAATATTAAATTAAGCTCATTATTTCTGTAGCATTTATTATATTTAGAATGTCTTTATGTCAGGAAAAGTATGTGTTTTGACCAAATTATGAGATGGAGCTTTCATTTCTGTATCAGAGCACATTCTAAAATGCTTGTGTACCCACCCATCCTGTGAGTACCTGGGTGTTTTATACAGTTAACACACATGTTCAGCATTTCCATATGATGTGTTGTCACTATTTTATGTGTGAATCCCTTTTGTAGCATTTTCCAGGAACACAACAGATACACAGACTTATATAGGCATTCAGCTCAGTAGAGGTTACTTCTGTTTGTATGTAGAATAGACATTAAGCTTAATCATGTAATTTTTTACAATTCCATATGCATGTTTATCTGATAAAAATTCAGATCTATTAAGATTGTTATTTCTTTATTTTATGGAATAGCTTTAGAGATGCATAAGCTCAAAGGTTTTGTGACACTCATGACATGTATTTTGTATACAGACAATCACAGAAATAAATGTATAATTTTACAAAGAGTTTCAGTTAAATTTGTGTTGTGGGACTGTTCACTGCTTCCTTTTAAATAGCTTTGTTTTCCCCTCCACAGTTAAGAAACAGACAGTTAAGCACATCCCTATGAGCACAGAGCTTGTACTTGAACACCTCTTGGACACAACAACTCATCGTGGTCATCCCCCTGGGGCAGAACAGCAAACTCCACCAGGAAGCAGGTGTCTAAACTACCAGAGGCAGGCCACTTTGCAGACACGGTTCATCAACGTCAGAAATTCCCCACAGCTGACACCAATAGAACCTCCATGAGGCACTGCAACACTGCTTGCGTGTGTCTGCTGCTATACTTGTTTATGAGAATAAACACAGCTCTCTTGCAGGCTTCCGAGTGGAGTTTTTTTTTCCTCCTCTAATGGGGCTTGAGTCTATTAAATTGTTACACAGTCTCTCCAATGGGCTCGTAGTCAAACTCAATCTTCCATTAAGAAGACAAATGATACAGGAATGCCTGGCACTTCTGGCTGATCTAACAAATGCCTCGGTTTGGTCGCAAGAAAAGTGACATGAAAATGTAAGAGAAGAAAGCAAGACCGTAAGTTTAAAACTCCATGAGGCAACAATCTCTGGCTTCCACTGCTCACTGTCTCATTTGTTATTTATTCTTTGGGCTTCATTGTTTTGTTTTATGTATGTGTCTCTCTGAGTGTGTGCCATGTGTGCAGGCACCTTGGGGTGGCAAGAAGAAGAAGAAGCTGTCAGACCCCGTGGAGCTAGAGTTACTCGTGGTTGAGAGCTGATGGGCTGGGAACTGAATCCAGATCCTTATTGCAGAACCATCTCTCAGCCTTGGTTTTGCTGTTGCTGCATCCACTGGAAACAGGATTTCACTCTGTCGTCCTCAGTGGCCTGAAACTTACTGTGTAGCCCAGGCTGGTTTCAAATTCACAGCTATTCTCTCCCTTAGCCCTTGATGCTGGGACCACAGGTGTAAATTACCCTACTTGGTAATCATTGTTTCTTTGAATTTTATTTTAAAATACTCACTCCCCCATTGCCGTGGAGGCCAGGAGACAACATGCAGGAGTTGGGTTTCTTTCCTACCTCATGGGTTCTGGGTCAGTCAGAGGTCAGCAGCTGCCCTTACCTGCTGAGTCTTCACATGTGTTTGCTCAGGTTGCTCCTTTGGGCTAAGGGCAAAAGTTA